TGAGGTGCTTCAATTTAGAGATTGTGGAAGGAATATGTCCTGTGAAATTATTATGACTGAAATCCAACTCTGTAATTTGTGTTAGGTTGCCAATGGAATCAGGAATGGAACCAGAGAAATGACATCGTTGGAGGTTCAAGATATTCAAGGAACTGAAGGTGCCAACTGAATCAGGCAGCTCACCGGAGATGCCTGTGTCTGAAATATCCAACTCCATTAACAGAGTGTTTCTCCGGTGGATCTTTGGAAAAACTCCTTTGAGAAGATCATTACTACTCAATTTGAGTGTTTCCAAGCTGTTTGGCAGATGGAAAAAGCTCTCTGTGAGAACACCTCGCAGATTAGTATTATCAAGATCCAAGTACCTTAAGGAAGAAGAAATATTGAGAGGTATCGGAGATGAGATGTTGACTTCAGAGAGAGAAAGTAGCTCCAGATTTGTCAAGTTGTGAAGCATTGTTACAAATGTTCTCTCATCAAGTTGTAATCCATAACTATAAGAAAGATCAAGTGAAACCAAATTGGAAAGGTATGAGATTTCCGTTGGGATTTTCCCTTGAAACCAAGCATCAGAAAGGTTAAGATGCCTCAAATTCGCCAATCGGCCAATGTTATGTGGGATCGAAGAATAATTGAAGTGATTGTAAGCAAGGTTTAGTGTGTGGAGATGATGAAGTTGGAAGAGGGTGCTATTGGGATGAAAAGTGACAACAATCTGACTGCAACTAAGGTCTAAACCGATAACATGACCGTTTAACAAGTCACAAGTGACTCCGTCCCAACTACAGCAATCCCTACTCTCATTCCAAGACTTTGTTTTTGGAGAACAATCTCCATCAGACCAATCTCTGTAGTACTCTTCGGACATATTTTGAAAGGATTGTTTGAACTTAATCAAAGCAGAAGCTTCAGTAGGAGAGCAAAGATGATGATGATCAAAGGAAGAAGAAAAGCATTCACTTATTAGCAACACAAAACACAGAAATGAATAATAGAAAAACAGACTCATGACCATTTTTTGTTTTCTGCAAATAACAGGAAGGATGTGTTCTTCTTACAAATCAATCCATATATATTTAAGTATCCTATGTAAATTCTTATAGATTTGTAAGAACAATCAAAATTCTATGAATACAATGATACTGAAATAGTTGCGCTAAATTTGATAAGTTAATATAATGATATTAAAATAATATTGATTTCGCTAAATGATCTTTAAAAGCAATTAATTAACAATAATAGTTTAAAATTTAAATGTTGTTTAATATGTATTTTTAGCGGCAATTAACAGTCTTTGTATATGTCTCTAAAGTCTTTAGCAACATCGGATCTAATGATACTTAACCAATGCCGGTAAGATTTTTAACACTTTTTATTAATGTGTATTTGTTACCGCTAAACGTTGTTTTTATTCTAGTGCTTGAATTTAAAGAATACACATTGATCTTTTTATTAAAACCCAAAAATATATTTTGTATAATGCAAAAAAATTTACTATTTGGTAGACTTTAGGATATATTTATTAATGAAAAAATAAAAATAGAAAGAGGAATAAAAAAGGTAAAAGTACTAAAATATATGAGTTCATGATAATTGTCAAGATATAAATAAATCAATAAAATAAATAGTCACGTACAAAAGGATGGTATAATTAACTAAAGTCATTTCTTAATTATTGCAACGACCTCCACATTAAATAAAGTAAATAATTAACTAAACACTATTTCGTAAAGTAACTTTGTTGACTATTCTATGCATGGGACAACATCAACTTAAAGAATATATAATAATTTTGTTCTTTTAAGCCAATTTCCACAAAGACTAGCGATGGGAAAAAGAACAATTATGTATATTATTATGTCACGTACTATGTGAGTCCATACATTTTTTTCAGTTTTATAATAGAGTTAGACACGTCACAATTTTTTGAAAAAAGTCACAATCCTTCAATATGAAAAATATATGTTTTAATATAATATAACTAACTAAATAAATAATATAGAAGATACACTAAATTGAGTAATTTTTAGTTGGGAGTATTATAATAATTTAACATTTATATTATAGAGTTCATATTTTTAAGGTAGTACACCATGCTTTAAAATAATAAAAAAATTAAATATAATATATTATAAAATATAGAAAAGATTCTAAATTGAGTTTCTTAAGTTGAAAATCATTTCATATATTTATATAAAAAAGAACATTCGGCCCACTTATGTAGCGCTAGCTATCACAAACGAGATTCTCTTTTGATTTACTTATTTACAAAACTAGTCTTCCCCTTTAATGAAAAGTTGTGAAATTTATGAAAAGTTGCAATTTAATGAAGAGTTGCAGTTTTTATGTAGAGTTACAACTTTTATGAAAATTTTTGACTTTTTTGAAAAGTTGTGACTTTTATGAAACATCGTGCCTTTGTTGAAAAGTTGCGATTTTAATGAAGAGTTGTTTCTTTTATGAAAAGTTATGACTTTTATTAAAAGTTGTGACTTTTATGAAATATTGTGACTTTTTCGAAGGGTTGCAACTTTTCCAAAGAGTTGTAACCGTTTCGATAAGATACAATAAATATTTGTTCACACTACCCTTTGTTGCCTATAAATAGAGGGATCACAATTTAATATTTGTGCACTTCACTCTCATTGATTGGCTCACTGATACCATTGCTTATGTTACAGATTCTGGTATGTATTTTTTACTGTCATTAATTATTGCTTATGTTCTTAAGGATAAATGACAAGACTAAATAATTTTCATATTTCTTTACATTCTTAATGTTTGTTACTACGTAATCTTGTATGTAAGATAATATAATGTTTTAGTTTTAATAACTTATAGATTTAAGTATTATTTTATAAATTTCATGATACTAAATTTTCGCGCGAAGCGTGAGTAATTTTACTGATATTATAATAATTTAACATTTTTAAAAAATAGTATAGATGGATAGGTAGAAATTTGAACTCCTATTTAAGTCATCCTTGTCCAAACTATTGTATGACCAAGTTAATTAAAAGAAACATGATGTTACTCCATTTCATCTTCCATATGATAAGAAGGGACAATATAATTAAGCAAAACCAAGTTGTATGAACGAAATAAATTTAAGTGTAATTTTCCCACGGAATTTATATAATCATAAAAGGTCAATACATATCATTGAACCAATCATGAGAACAGTTAGGGTACGTTCAGGAAAGAGAAACCAATTATAAGAATGCAATAAAAATTTTATGAATTTTTTCCATGAAATTTATACAATCATAAAAGGTCAATATCTCGAGTTAGTAATTAGTCGTCTCTTCTGCTATTTTCAAACTTGTTAGGTACACAATAATTTTCATATTAAGGGAAAATCCATCAATATTTCAGTCCACCTAAGGAAAAAAGTGACGAAGACTTGTAAGACTTTAAGCCAATTTCCACAAAGACTAGAGGGGAAAAAAAGATTATGATGAACAATTGAATCACAAGATGAGTACTACTCACTTCTAACAATTTGTTACTCATATTTTGTAGTGTTCCACAAGACTTATTAGAGAACGGAGAACACTTAACAAAATAATACTACTTAGCTTATGCCCTAATTTTTTTTAGATGTTGTGTTTCATTCCGAAATCATTAACTATCTCTGCAGTGTGTGTTACGCAAAATGATGTGAAATTCTGCAGAAGTTGTAAGTAATTTCTAATGAGAGAAACTATTGCTTGACTAAGTCAAGTGAGGAAATAAATGAACAATAATTAAAGACATGATTTAAGTCGTCCATTTCCTCCGTGTGGAATTTTATTTTTTGAATAACTTGGTGATGATCATTCCTCTCTTGTGCTGTTTTCATAGACCCTCGACTCAATATAAAGGTGTAGTGATCAAATTAAGAAGAAAAACAAAATCATGAAAGAAATTCCATTCCACAAACCATTTTGGCTAACCATCTTTAAACATGAGACTCCACATGACAGTTCAAACAAACAAATCCACAACTGTAGCAAAATACGATTTTTCTTCGTATTCGGACTCCAGTGGATGATGAACATGTGATGGATCACTCGTGCCATATGAGTTGATCTTCAAATGTGTTAATTTAAAAAATACACGACTTTTAAAGAATCCAACATGTACCTGTTGACATTTATGAAAAATCTAAGTAACATGGCAAATGAGTGGCTGTGAAGAACACTTATGTCAATTTGAAACAGAAACGGACTAACATAACTTGAATAGCCATTGATACTAAAATAACACAAATATAATTATTATGTTTCTAACATATGCAAGCAACAAATAGAAAATTTAAAACAGATAAAAACAGAACAGTTCAATAATTATTCCACAAAATAAAACAAAGACAAGTTGGCGCTCTCAATCTTCCATTAAGTCCGTCGTCTCTGAGCTCTCCTATTTGGCCTTCTTCTTTTGTGAGGCATCAGTCCATCGAAAAATTCCACAAACCATTCTGGCTTACGATATTTAAACACGAGACTCCACATGACAGTTCCAACAACTAGTCCAAAACTGTAGCCTATGACTACTGATTCCCACGTAAATCCACTAAAAAAATATGACTCACTTTCATCTTTTTCTTCTTCCTCCAATGGTTGAGGAGCATGCGATGGATCACTCGTTCCACATTGTTTTGATAAAGGAGGACCACATAAATCAAGGTTGCCGCCGTACGAGTCATTTCCAAATGTGTTGAACTGTAGACCTTGAGGAATTGGTCCAATGAGATGATTTTGAGAGAGGTTTAATACGGACAGAAAGTTCATTCTTGTCAATTCCTGCGGAATCTTTCCAGTGAGCCGATTCCAGGAGAGATCTAAAGCTTCAAGTGTAATCAATTGCCCCAATTCCATTGGAATATGACCTATAAGATTGTTATGAGATAAATTGAGTAGCCAAAGCGAGCTGAGATCTTTTAGTGTTTCCGGAATGACACCTTCAAAATGGTTGCTTGAAAGATCTATGGTTGTCGTAATTGTGCTGATTCTTTGTAGCTACAAATCCTGCCCTTTGATAACCAAACTCACTGAATTCTCATACGATGTGACAAATGGCGAATTCAACAGAGATGTCATGTACTTGATATTTCCTATGTCTTCACCATCTAATTTGATCATTGCCTTGAAGTTTCCAAAAACTTTTGCAGGAAGTGAGCCACTGAAATCATTACGAGAAAGATCAAAAATTCGCAACTTGGTAAAGCAAAACTCAGTATGACACGTACTTATAGGTCCATGGAACTTGTTTGACTTTAATATAAGGACCTGCAGCTCTTGAAGAATTCCGAGCCACGCTGGAAACGTGTCATTTATAGCATTGTTCCCCACATCAAGGACTTCTAGACCATAACACTTGAGCAATGACACAGGAACAGGTCATTCAAATTGATTACCATTTACGATAATGGTACTCAATGAAGTGCTTTTTGCACATAATGGAGGAAGACTCACTGTGAGATTGTTCCTTTTTAAGTCCAATGCCGTTAGTAAACCCATGCTTCCCAAGCAATGTGGAACTGAGTTGCTTAAGTAGTTGTGTGATAAATCTAATAACATAAGTTTGCTCATGTTACAAATGGATGAAGGTAGTGGACCCTGAAGGGAGTTAAATTTCAGATCAAGATACCCTAGGTTATCGTAACGAAATTGTGGTAGGTTGCCTGTTAATGAATTATGAGAAAGGTTTAAGAAAATCAACGAGTCCCACCTCATGCCGCTAAACCAGTTAGGGATTTGACCAGAAATCTTATTGTTAGAAATATCCAAGTACACAAGTGTGTTTACATTTCTCAAGAAGTATGGAAAATGCTTCAGTTGACAAGATGATAAGAATAAAGATGATAGGCTAAGAAAGGTGATATTCATTCCCTCATCAACGGTGATGTTATTTGATGAAATTCCAAGGGTTTCAAGGTTTGTGAGATTCGCAAGTGATTGAGGAAAAGAACCACTGAGTTGATTATTGCTTAAATGCAGTTCTTTTAATGTTGGGTTTGTTTTGATCACTTCATCGGCTAGTCCTCTGAATCGGTTATGTTGGAGGGACACTGAATATAGCAAAGGTAGGCTAAACACCCAAGATGGTATGGTACCATTCAGTGAGTTGTATGACAAATTTAGATGGATTAGTTTTGGAAGCATGCTTGTGTTGCTAGGCAGTGGGCCAGATAGGGAATTACTCGACAATCCTAAGTGTTCAAGACGTGTCAAACTTAATATTGAAGCAGGAAATGGACCGATGAAGCTGTTATTAAAAAAATCTAAATAACGTAGCTTTTGGAGGTTAGAGAAAACATCTGGAATTTCACCTGAAAAGGAGTTAGATGAAAGATCCAAACGCGTTAGGTGCTTGAATTTAGAGATTGTGGAAGGAATAATACGGCCAGTGAAATGATTATAAGATAAATCTAACTCCGTAATTAGTGTTAGGTTGCCTATGGAATCAGGAATGGAACCAGAGAATTGACATTGTTGGAGGTTTAAGTATTTCAAGGAACTGAAGTTGCCAATTGAATCAGGTATCTCACCTGCCTGTGTACGATATATCCAACTCCGTTAACAGAGTGTTTCTCTTTGGTAAAACTCCTTCGAGACGAAGATTCCCACTCAATTTGAGTGTTTCCAAGCTGTTTGGTATAAGGAAAGAACTCTTTGTGAGAACACCTAGCAGATTAGTATGTTTAAGATCCAGGTGCCTTAAGGAAGAAGAAATGTTCACAGGTAGTGGAGATGAGATGATGACTTGAGAGAGAGAAAGTACCTCCAGATTTGTCAAGTTTTGAAGCATTGTTTCAAATGTTCTCTCATCAAGTTCTAATGCATAACTATTAGAAAGATCAAGTGAAACCAAATTGGAAAGGTATGAGATTTCTGTTGGGATTTTCCCTTGAAACCAAGCATCAGAAAGGTTGAGATGCCTCAAATTCGTCAATCCGCCAATGTTATGTGGGATCGAAGAAGGATAAACGTCATTGTAGGCAAGGTTTAGTGTCTGCAGATGATGAAGTTGGTAGAGGATGCTATTGGGATGAATACTTCCAGGAAGCAGACTACAACTTGTTGGGTTTTAGCAAGTGTGAATGGGAAAAGAAAAGAGAAAATATCAAAAGTGAGGGAACTACTTTGGAGAGAAAATGAAAAGTCATTTGCAAAGTGCAAATGAAAAGTCATTTCTTATAAATTTGCAGGTAACGGTAACATTCCGAAAAGTTGTTACTCTTTCCGAAAAGTCGTTACTTTTCGAAAAGTAGTTATTTTCCTAACAGACACAATTTTTCGAAAAGTTGTTATTTTTTTCAAAAGACACAACTTTCTGGATAAAATGGGTCTGAACAGATTTCACTGAACAGACATGTTCCTTGCTGAAAATGGCTATAAAAGGAAGTCAATTTTTGATTTTTTAATCACTGAAAATTTTTCACTCAAAAAGTAGTTATTTTTTCCAAAAGACACAACTTTCTGGATAAAATGGGTCTGAACAGATTTCACTGAACAGACATGTTCCTTGCTGAAAATGGCTATAAAAGGAAGTCAAATTTTTGATTTTTTAATCACTGAAAATTTTTTCTTTCTCTGCATTTATTTTTTCTCTCAAAATAAAATCAAAGTGTCGATCGACTGAGTCTGTGTGACTTGTTGCTGTTCTTCAGTTCGTTGAAGTTAAAGAAGTTTGAGGTACCGCTATTTCTTTAACAGGTTTAATCCGTTTTATCTTGGGAGAAATTAATCCATAACCTTGGGTACAGTGAGGGGATTAAATTTCTTAAGGACACACAGTATTTTCTGTGGACTCGGATTAATTCTTCTATTTTAAATTTTTTTCTGCTTTATCTTGTTTCTGTTTCTGTTCATTAACTTCATAAATACAAGTTATTGTAAGAATAACATATCTCTGCAGGGTGTGTTACACAAGATGATGCGAAATAACACACATAAAATTATGCTTCTATCAAACATATATAAACAACAAACAGAAGATTAAAAATACATAAACAGAACCAGAAAATTAAAAATACAAAAACAGAAGCCTTCTATATATTGTTGATTTCAGTTCCATTAGGACTAGCTTCTTTTCCTTCTGTCGAGTTTTTAAGAACTTTCTCTAATGAAGTCATTGATTCATTCTGAGAAAAAAGGTTACTTAGCCCATTGTTCTTGCCATTCGGGCAGTACAATAAATAGCTCCAAGTGCACCTAACCAAAGATAATGAGAACAGTTAACACACATCAAGCACAGAGACTATTCTATGTGTTGTGCTCACAATTTACAACAATAACAACATGCCCATTGTCATCCCTCGGCTCAAAACAAGTGTAGACAAATCATGACAGAAAGGAAAATAATGACTACAAACTGCGCGATCTGTGTTAGCTCTGCTCTGGAGCTATAAGGGAAAGGAAATCACTGCCAATAAGTTTACAACATAGGACTAAACGATGGCAGCTGAGACTACTATAATGCACTGTATGATCTACGTTCTACAGGATATGTAACCCCTCCCCCCTGTTGTCTTCCTGTCTAATGCACTCGGTAGATCAAGATCATATCATTAAGAATATAATGAGCAGGAAATACTATTCATAGGACAATCGTATATACAATGAAACCATTGTCAATATCAATACCTATGATCCCCTGGTAAAATGCGAATAACTTTTCGAACTGGCCACATGATTGAGTCTTCAACAGCATCCGGATGGTTCCCTGGAGAAATAAATTCATTTTAGTACATCTCAAGTGTAGAAAATCATAACGAACATTTGTTAAGCTTTCCATTTTATGACTGCATAAAAAAATTCAAGTTCAGGCAAACAACTTTAAAGTAGCAACTTCGTTGCACTAAGAAACTAAAGAGTTGTTTTATCTTGTTAACATGTCGTGAATTAAGTTCCTGATTGTCATAAACAAAGATGAAAATAACCACTACAATAACATCCTATCCTTGTAGCCACTACTTCAAAATAAGGCTTGGCTACGCCAGCCAAATATCCATGGCATCTGTAGGCCTTCGTTACATCTAAATAAAACTGCATTGGTTGTTGTGGAAGGATAACAAACCAGAGAAACAGATTTAGTGGTAAGAGTTCGCCCAAACCTCAATTGCATCAGAAACGCCAGGAATTGCTGTCATGTCACCACCAAATACTTTAAGCGTATAATCCAGCTTTTTCTGCAAACAATGAAATGTACTTGTCATTTTTCCTACAGAATTTAGGTGTGAGATATGCACGTGAGTAGCCTTATCCCGGTAAAAGTAAGTGACATCTGCACACACACGGGAAATGCTTTAGCTTCAATTCTGGATTTTAAGTGTCAACACGATGCCTAAATTGTTTAAGGGTTAGTATCAATAACATGATCTCTGTGCATATATTTGCCAAAGCGATACACAGGCAAATGAAGGATAAAAGAAAATTTGAGGTTTATACAACACCTTCTGCCTTAGAGAATAATATACAGCTCCGAAGCAAGGAAACTCATCAACAAGTCGCCTGAAGATGAGCCTGAAAGTACCAGCAAATGCGATGTTCTTCACCTAAACGAAAGGAGAACAATAATCACAAAGTTAAAATCAGATTCATAAGAGTTGAAACATAGCAAGATGCAAATATTTCAGGAACCAAAATAGAAACTTGCAAGGATAAATTACTGGCGTCTTCATTTCTTCACTCTTAAATCGTGCAACTCTTTTATATTACTATTAAGGTCGTATCGCAGGGAGTAAAATGACATTAACTTTTCATTTTCTGCTCAATCCAAGAAAAACTCAAAAGCACGAGCATGTCCATGCAAATCATATGGGATAACTAGCAAGTGTAAGCCACAAATACAGACTAGTTAAGCTGAAACAGTTGTTTGTTCGCCATTTCAACAAGCTCTTTCAGAAACAATAAACACAGGCTTAAGGACATCACGTAATACTAGTGGGTTCTTCAATTCGATTATTCAAAGAGATAACAGAAATATCATGTGAAGCAGTTAAAGTATGTGTCACAGCTCTGAGGTGAAAGTATGTTGCTCAGACTCTTCAAAAATTTCAAATGGTGCGTGTCAGATACTGCTACACTTTTGGAGAGTACGAGCAACATATGGTGAAACTAATTACCTCCACCGGTAATGCTACACCAAGACAAGTCATGACATCAAGTATTATGCTTGTATTCCCATCCCATTGCATCTCTAATTCCTTGCAGTGGCATACATATCAAGCATTTGTTAAATGTAATGTGATTCATGCTCACAAGCAGTTTCATATGTATAAGTGACTCCTAAAAGTTTTAGGTAACAACAAAAGAAATTAGTTGGTGAAGATCATTTCCGATTAGTTGTGTTGTCTGTTGCGCTGTATTCCACAAAAACAACAGGGGAAAATATGATACAGTTCAATCATAATATGTTCTTAGTGTGATTCATCAATTACTAGTACTGATTCAGTAGTTCAAGCAAATGCTAAATGTTGACATCCAATTTGTTGGGTTATGGACCTTTTTCCCTTCCTATGTGGATAAATAAAAGTCCAATTTGGACCAACCCATTTTTGCCCATAAGCCTATTCTTATGAGGCAAATATAAAACTATTTAGGGTCTTATTTTCAGATATACAAGAGTGTTTTTTCAGCAGCCAAAAAGAGAGATTTTCGCAGTCAAAAATTCAGCCCTAACAGCCAACTTCAAATTGCGATTCCCGCTTCGTTTCTTGTCCGATTGAGCTGATTTTTGGACAGCATATTATCTTCATCTCAATCTTTGATTAGGAACTGACAGAGTTGGATTTGGTGGCCTTCAGCTTCAGTTTTGCTGTCGTGAACAGTAGCTGCGAAATTGGTGATTTTGCTCCTTTAATTCTCTAGATTTGGTGCAATCTTATTTTGTTGTTGCTCGTTGTTTGGCACTTGTTTTGTGGCCAATTTTGGAGAACAATATTGTAACTCTTGGTGATTATAGTGGAGCTTTTGGTCCCGTGGTTTTTTACTCTTCACATCGAAGGGTTTTCCACGTAAATCTTGGTGTCTTGTGTGATTGGTTTATTATTGTCTTGTTATATTTGTTTGGTTGAATTACTTGCTGCCTTACTATCATATTCCTTGTGGTTGTTTGTCTTCTCTTGGTTCAAATCGAGAAGGGAAAGTATAGACTTGGGTATTCTTCCGCTGTTATCCTGTCAGGCATTCTTTGTTAGTGCCTTGTCTTTCCCAACACAATTTTGGACCTCCACCATATAAATTAATTAATTCAAGCTTTTTCGATTTCAAACGATTTAAAATAATTAGTTTTTATAAAATTTTAAAAAAATTATAAAGTTTGCACGTTATTTTGATAGTTTTGTCACATTTTATAAAGGTTTGTGAGATTCACAAGTGATTGAGGAAAAAAACCATTGAACTGATTAGGACTTAAATACAGGTCTTCTAATACTGGATTTTTTCTGAGCTCATCGCATAGTCCACTAAATCGATTATGATTGAGCCTCAACTCAAGGGAACTAACATTAAAGACCCAAGAGAGTATTGTGCTATTCAATGAGTTGTAACAGTTCGGTTAGCTTTTGAAGCATGCTGGCATTGCTAGGCAGTGGACCAGATAGGGAATTACTCGACATGTTTAAGCTTAAAATTGAACAGGAAAACGGACCGATGAAGCTGTTATTAGACAGATCTAAATAACAAACTAACATAACTTGAATAACACACATATAATTATGTTTCTATCAAACATATACAAACAACAGACAAAAAGTTGAAAAGATAAAAACAGAACCAGAAAACTTCACTAATAAGTCCACAAAATTAAACGAAGACAACTTGGCCCCTCTCAATTTTCCATTAAGTCCTTCGTCTCTGAGCTCTCTTCTTTGGCCTTCATCTTTTGTGAGGCGTGAGTCCATCAAAAAAATTCGACAAACCATTTTGGTTTACGATATTTAAACATGAGACTCCACATGACAGTTCCAACAACGAGTCCAAAACTGTAGCCTATGACTACTGATTCCCATGTAAATCCACTAAAAAAATATGACTCACTTTCGTCTTCTTCTTCCTCCAAAGGTTGAGGAAGATGCGATGAATCACTTGTTCCACATTGTTTTGATAAAGGAGGACCACATAAATCAAGGTTGCTGCCATACGAGTCATTTCCAAATGTGTTGAACTGTAGACCATGAGGAATTGGTCCGATGAGATGATTTTGAGAGAGGTTTAAGAAGGCCAGAAAGTTCATTCTTGTCAATTCCTGCGGAATCATTCCAGTGAGGCGATTCCAGGAGAGATCTAAAGCTTCAAGCGTATTCAATTGCCCTAATTCCATTGGAATATCACCTCTGATATTGTTATGGGATAAATTGAGTAGCCAAAGTGAGCTGAGATCCTTTAGTGTTTTCGGAATGACACCTTCAAAATGGTTGCTTGAGAGATCTATGGTTGTCATAATTGTGCTGATTCTTTGTAGCTCAATATCCTGACCTTTGATTACCAATGTCACTGAATCCTCATACGATGTGTCAGATAGTCTCATGTACTTGATCTCTCCTGTGTCTTCGTTATCTAATTTGATCATTGCCTTGAAGATTCCAAAAACTTCTGCAGGAAGCGAGCCACTGAAATTATTACGAGAAAGATCAAAAATACGCAACTTGGTAAAGCAAAACTCAGTCTGACAAGTACTTATAGGTCCATGGAACTTGTTCGACTTTAATACAAGGACCTGCAGCTCTTCAAGAGATCCAAGCCAAGCTGGAAATGTGTCATTTATAGCATTGTTCCCCACATCAAGGACTTCTAGACTCACACTTGAGCAACGACACAGGAACAGGTCCTTCAAATCGATTACCATTTATGACAATGGTACTCAATGAAGTGCTGTGGACACATAATGTGGGAAGACTACCTGTGAAATTGTTCTTTCTTAAGTCCAGCACCGTTAGATTAGCCATGCTTCCCAAGCAACTTGGAATCGAGTTACTGATGTTGTTGCGTGATAAATCTAATAAGATAAGCGAACTCATGTTACAAATGGATGAAGGTAGTGGACCCTGAAGGGAGTTGAATTTCAGATCAAGATACTGTAGAGTATAATAATGCAATCGTGGTAGGTTGCCTGTTAGTGAATTATGAGAAAGGTTTAGGAACTGCAACGAGTCCCACCTCATGCCGCTAAACCATTTAGGGATTTGACCAGAAATCTTATTGTTAGAAATATCTAAGTACACAAGTGTCTTTACATTTCTCAACAAGTATGGAATATCCTTCAGTTCACAAGATGATAAATGCAAAAATCCCAGGCTAGGGAAAGTGATATTGATTCCCGTAATATCATTGGTGATTTTATTTGATGAAAGGTCAAGGTAATAAAGGTTTTTGAGATTCGCAAGTGATTGAGCAAAAGAACCACTGAGTTGATTATGGCTTAAATCGAGGCGTTCTAATGTTGGGTTTGTTTTGATCACTTCATCAGCTATCCCTCTGAATCGATTATGATGGAGCGACACTGAAGATAGCAAAGGTAGGCTAAACACCCAAGATGGTATGGTACCATTCAGTGAGTTGTAAGACAAATCCAAATAATTTAGATTTTGAAGAATGCTCGCATTCTTAGGTAGTGGGCTAGATAGGGAATTACTCGACATGTCTAATCTTTCAAGACGTCTCAAATTTAAAATTGAAGTGGGAAATAGACCGATGAAGCTGTTTCTAAAAAGATATAAATAACGTAGTTGTTGTAGGTTAGAGAAAACATCAGTAATTTCACCTGAAAAGGAGTTGGACGAAAGATGTAAACCTGTGAGGTGCTTCAATTTAGAGATTGTGGAAGGAATATGTCCTGTGAAATTATTATGACTGAAATCCAACTCTGTAATTTGTGTTAGGTTGCCAATGGAATCAGGAATGGAACCAGAGAAATGACATCGTTGGAGGTTCAAGATATTCAAGGAACTGAAGGTGCCAACTGAATCAGGCAGCTCACCGGAGATGCCTGTGTCTGAAATATCCAACTCCATTAACAGAGTGTTTCTCCGGTGGATCTTTGGAAAAACTCCTTTGAGAAGATCATTACTACTCAATTTGAGTGTTTCCAAGCTGTTTGGCAGATGGAAAAAGCTCTCTGTGAGAACACCTCGCAGATTAGTATTATCAAGATCCAAGTACCTTAAGGAAGAAGAAATATTGAGAGGTATCGGAGATGAGATGTTGACTTCAGAGAGAGAAAGTAGCTCCAGATTTGTCAAGTTGTGAAGCATTGTTACAAATGTTCTCTCATCAAGTTGTAATCCATAACTATAAGAAAGATCAAGTGAAACCAAATTGGAAAGGTATGAGATTTCCGTTGGGATTTTCCCTTGAAACCAAGCATCAGAAAGGTTAAGATGCCTCAAATTCGCCAATCGGCCAATGTTATGTGGGATCGAAGAATAATTGAAGTGATTGTAAGCAAGGTTTAGTGTGTGGAGATGATGAAGTTGGAAGAGGGTGCTATTGGGATGAAAAGTGACAACAATCTGACTGCAACTAAGGTCTAAACCGATAACATGACCGTTTAACAAGTCACAAGTGACTCCGTCCCAACTACAGCAATCCCTACTCTCATTCCAAGACTTTGTTTTTGGAGAACAATCTCCATCAGACCAATCTCTGTAGTACTCTTCGGACATATTTTGAAAGGATTGTTTGAACTTAATCAAAGCAGAAGCTTCAGTAGGAGAGCAAAGATGATGATGATCAAAGGAAGAAGAAAAGCATTCACTTATTAGCAACACAAAACACAGAAATGAATAATAGAAAAACAGACTCATGACCATTTTTTGTTTTCTGCAAATAACAGGAAGGATGTGTTCTTCTTACAAATCAATCCATATATATTTAAGTATCCTATGTAAATTCTTATAGATTTGTAAGAACAATCAAAATTCTATGAATACAATGATACTGAAATAGTTGCGCTAAATTTGATAAGTTAATATAATGATATTAAAATAATATTGATTTCGCTAAATGATCTTTAAAAGCAATTAATTAACAATAATAGTTTAAAATTTAAATGTTGTTTAATATGTATTTTTAGCGGCAATTAACAGTCTTTGTATATGTCTCTAAAGTCTTTAGCAACATCGGATCTAATGATACTTAACCAATGCCGGTAAGATTTTTAACACTTTTTATTAATGTGTATTTGTTACCGCTAAACGTTGTTTTTATTCTAGTGCTTGAATTTAAAGAATACACATTGATCTTTTTATTAAAACCCAAAAATATATTTTGTATAATGCAAAAAAATTTACTATTTGGTAGACTTTAGGATATATTTATTAATGAAAAAATAAAAATAGAAAGAGGAATAAAAAAGGTAAAAGTACTAAAATATATGAGTTCATGATAATTGTCAAGATATAAATAAATCAATAAAATAAATAGTCACGTACAAAAGGATGGTATAATTAACTAAAGTCATTTCTTAATTATTGCAACGACCTCCACATTAAATAAAGTAAATAATTAACTAAACACTATTTCGTAAAGTAACTTTGTTGACTATTCTATGCATGGGACAACATCAACTTAAAGAATATATAATAATTTTGTTCTTTTAAGCCAATTTCCACAAAGACTAGCGATGGGAAAAAGAACAATTATGTATATTATTATGTCACGTACTATGTGAGTCCATACATTTTTTTCAGTTTTATAATAGAGTTAGACACGTCACAATTTTTTGAAAAAAGTCACAATCCTTCAATATGAAAAATATATGTTTTAATATAATATAACTAACTAAATAAATAATATAGAAGATACACTAAATTGAGTAATTTTTAGTTGGGAGTATTATAATAATTTAACATTTATATTATAGAGTTCATATTTTTAAGGTAGTACACCATGCTTTAAAATAATAAAAAAATTAAATATAATATATTATAAAATATAGAAAAGATTCTAAATTGAGTTTCTTAAGTTGAAAATCATTTCATATATTTATATAAAAAAGAACATTCGGCCCACTTATGTAGCGCTAGCTATCACAAACGAGATTCTCTTTTGATTTACTTATTTACAAAACTAGTCTTCCCCTTTAATGAAAAGTTGTGAAATTTATGAAAAGTTGCAATTTAATGAAGAGTTGCAGTTTTTATGTAGAGTTACAACTTTTATGAAAATTTTTGACTTTTTTGAAAAGTTGTGACTTTTATGAAACATCGTGCCTTTGTTGAAAAGTTGCGATTTTAATGAAGAGTTGTTTCTTTTATGAAAAGTTATGACTTTTATTAAAAGTTGTGACTTTTATGAAATATTGTGACTTTTTCGAAGGGTTGCAACTTTTCCAAAGAGTTGTAACCGTTTCGATAAGATACAATAAATATTTGTTCACACTACCCTTTGTTGCCTATAAATAGAGGGATCACAATTTAATATTTGTGCACTTCACTCTCATTGATTGGCTCACTGATACCATTGCTTATGTTACAGATTCTGGTATGTATTTTTTACTGTCATTAATTATTGCTTATGTTCTTAAGGATAAATGACAAGACTAAATAATTTTCATATTTCTTTACATTCTTAATGTTTGTTACTACGTAATCTTGTATGTAAGATAATATAATGTTTTAGTTTTAATAACTTATAGATTTAAGTATTATTTTATAAATTTCATGATACTAAATTTTCGCGCGAAGCGTGAGTAATTTTACTGATATTATAATAATTTAACATTTTTAAAAAATAGTATAGATGGATAGGTAGAAATTTGAACTCCTATTTAAGTCATCCTTGTCCAAACTATTGTATGACCAAGTTAATTAAAAGAAACATGATGTTACTCCATTTCATCTTCCATATGATAAGAAGGGACAATATAATTAAGCAAAACCAAGTTGTATGAACGAAATAAATTTAAGTGTAATTTTCCCACGGAATTTATATAATCATAAAAGGTCAATACATATCATTGAACCAATCATGAGAACAGTTAGGGTACGTTCAGGAAAGAGAAACCAATTATAAGAATGCAATAAAAATTTTATGAATTTTTTCCATGAAATTTATACAATCATAAAAGGTCAATATCTCGAGTTAGTAATTAGTCGTCTCTTCTGCTATTTTCAAACTTGTTAGGTACACAATAATTTTCATATTAAGGGAAAATCCATCAATATTTCAGTCCACCTAAGGAAAAAAGTGACGAAGACTTGTAAGACTTTAAGCCAATTTCCACAAAGACTAGAGGGGAAAAAAAGATTATGATGAACAATTGAATCACAAGATGAGTACTACTCACTTCTAACAATTTGTTACTCATATTTTGTAGTGTTCCACAAGACTTATTAGAGAACGGAGAACACTTAACAAAATAATACTACTTAGCTTATGCCCTAATTTTTTTTAGATGTTGTGTTTCATTCCGAAATCATTAACTATCTCTGCAGTGTGTGTTACGCAAAATGATGTGAAATTCTGCAGAAGTTGTAAGTAATTTCTAATGAGAGAAACTATTGCTTGACTAAGTCAAGTGAGGAAATAAATGAACAATAATTAAAGACATGATTTAAGTCGTCCATTTCCTCCGTGTGGAATTTTATTTTTTGAATAACTTGGTGATGATCATTCCTCTCTTGTGCTGTTTTCATAGACCCTCGACTCAATATAAAGGTGTAGTGATCAAATTAAGAAGAAAAACAAAATCATGAAAGAAATTCCATTCCACAAACCATTTTGGCTAACCATCTTTAAACATGAGACTCCACATGACAGTTCAAACAAACAAATCCACAACTGTAGCAAAATACGATTTTTCTTCGTATTCGGACTCCAGTGGATGATGAACATGTGATGGATCACTCGTGCCATATGAGTTGATCTTCAAATGTGTTAATTTAAAAAATACACGACTTTTAAAGAATCCAACATGTACCTGTTGACATTTATGAAAAATCTAAGTAACATGGCAAATGAGTGGCTGTGAAGAACACTTATGTCAATTTGAAACAGAAACGGACTAACATAACTTGAATAGCCATTGATACTAAAATAACACAAATATAATTATTATGTTTCTAACATATGCAAGCAACAAATAGAAAATTTAAAACAGATAAAAACAGAACAGTTCAATAATTATTCCACAAAATAAAACAAAGACAAGTTGGCGCTCTCAATCTTCCATTAAGTCCGTCGTCTCTGAGCTCTCCTATTTGGCCTTCTTCTTTTGTGAGGCATCAGTCCATCGAAAAATTCCACAAACCATTCTGGCTTACGATATTTAAACACGAGACTCCACATGACAGTTCCAACAACTAGTCCAAAACTGTAGCCTATGACTACTGATTCCCACGTAAATCCACTAAAAAAATATGACTCACTTTCATCTTTTTCTTCTTCCTCCAATGGTTGAGGAGCATGCGATGGATCACTCGTTCCACATTGTTTTGATAAAGGAGGACCACATAAATCAAGGTTGCCGCCGTACGAGTCATTTCCAAATGTGTTGAACTGTAGACCTTGAGGAATTGGTCCAATGAGATGATTTTGAGAGAGGTTTAATACGGACAGAAAGTTCATTCTTGTCAATTCCTGCGGAATCTTTCCAGTGAGCCGATTCCAGGAGAGATCTAAAGCTTCAAGTGTAATCAATTGCCCCAATTCCATTGGAATATGACCTATAAGATTGTTATGAGATAAATTGAGTAGCCAAAGCGAGCTGAGATCTTTTAGTGTTTCCGGAATGACACCTTCAAAATGGTTGCTTGAAAGATCTATGGTTGTCGTAATTGTGCTGATTCTTTGTAGCTACAAATCCTGCCCTTTGATAACCAAACTCACTGAATTCTCATACGATGTGACAAATGGCGAATTCAACAGAGATGTCATGTACTTGATATTTCCTATGTCTTCACCATCTAATTTGATCATTGCCTTGAAGTTTCCAAAAACTTTTGCAGGAAGTGAGCCACTGAAATCATTACGAGAAAGATCAAAAATTCGCAACTTGGTAAAGCAAAACTCAGTATGACACGTACTTATAGGTCCATGGAACTTGTTTGACTTTAATATAAGGACCTGCAGCTCTTGAAGAATTCCGAGCCACGCTGGAAACGTGTCATTTATAGCATTGTTCCCCACATCAAGGACTTCTAGACCATAACACTTGAGCAATGACACAGGAACAGGTCATTCAAATTGATTACCATTTACGATAATGGTACTCAATGAAGTGCTTTTTGCACATAATGGAGGAAGACTCACTGTGAGATTGTTCCTTTTTAAGTCCAATGCCGTTAGTAAACCCATGCTTCCCAAGCAATGTGGAACTGAGTTGCTTAAGTAGTTGTGTGATAAATCTAATAACATAAGTTTGCTCATGTTACAAATGGATGAAGGTAGTGGACCCTGAAGGGAGTTAAATTTCAGATCAAGATACCCTAGGTTATCGTAACGAAATTGTGGTAGGTTGCCTGTTAATGAATTATGAGAAAGGTTTAAGAAAATCAACGAGTCCCACCTCATGCCGCTAAACCAGTTAGGGATTTGACCAGAAATCTTATTGTTAGAAATATCCAAGTACACAAGTGTGTTTACATTTCTCAAGAAGTATGGAAAATGCTTCAGTTGACAAGATGATAAGAATAAAGATGATAGGCTAAGAAAGGTGATATTCATTCCCTCATCAACGGTGATGTTATTTGATGAAATTCCAAGGGTTTCAAGGTTTGTGAGATTCGCAAGTGATTGAGGAAAAGAACCACTGAGTTGATTATTGCTTAAATGCAGTTCTTTTAATGTTGGGTTTGTTTTGATCACTTCATCGGCTAGTCCTCTGAATCGGTTATGTTGGAGGGACACTGAATATAGCAAAGGTAGGCTAAACACCCAAGATGGTATGGTACCATTCAGTGAGTTGTATGACAAATTTAGATGGATTAGTTTTGGAAGCATGCTTGTGTTGCTAGGCAGTGGGCCAGATAGGGAATTACTCGACAATCCTAAGTGTTCAAGACGTGTCAAACTTAATATTGAAGCAGGAAATGGACCGATGAAGCTGTTATTAAAAAAATCTAAATAACGTAGCTTTTGGAGGTTAGAGAAAACATCTGGAATTTCACCTGAAAAGGAGTTAGATGAAAGATCCAAACGCGTTAGGTGCTTGAATTTAGAGATTGTGGAAGGAATAATACGGCCAGTGAAATGATTATAAGATAAATCTAACTCCGTAATTAGTTTATCGTTAAACCAGAAACAGTTTGTGTAAAGATTTGTTCTTTACTGTTAGTATTTTAAATACTTAATTTATCTGCCATTTGTGACAGAAAAAAAAAGACTAATTCAAGTCAAACAAATGCTGGAACAGTAAGTGCTGCAACAACAACGGTTGCACATAATCGTTCAAATGTTGCCTTAGCACTGGCTAAGAAACCTGCAAAGTTTTCTGGAGTCGACTTTAAGAGATGGTAGCAAAAGATGTTCTTCTATCTCACTATGTTGAGTCTGCAGAAGTTCATCAAAGAGAATGTTCCTGTTATGTCAGATGAAACTTTGGCTGATGAACGATTATTGGTAACAGAAGCATGGACACACTCAGATTTTTTGTGTAAAAATTATATTTTGAGTGGTCTACAAGATGATCTGTACAATGTGTACAACAATGCAAAAACCTCAAAAGAACTCTGGGATGCTTTAGAAAAGAAGTACAAAACAGAAGATGCCGGAATGAAGAAATTCATTGTGGCAAAATTTCTGGACTTTAAGATGATAGACAGTAAGACTGTCGTCACCCAAGTTCAAGAATTGCAGGTCATAATACATGATCTCCTTGCTGAAGGATTAATTATGAATGATGCTTTTCAAGTGGCTGCAATTATTGAAAAGTTACCTCCATTGTGGAAGGACTTTAAAAACTACTTGAAACACAAACGCAATGAGATGACTGTTGAAGATCTCATACTAAGGTTGAGAATCGAAGAGGATAATAAGGCTGCAGAAAAGAGGTCACGTGATAATTCAGCAATATCTGGAGTAAATTTTGTGGAAGAAGATTCCACAAAATTAAAGAAAAGAAAGAAAGCATCTGGTCCAAAAAGCAATCCTCATAAGAAGAAATTCAAATCCTTTAGAATTGATTCACACTGATATTTGTGACATGAAGTCAACACCATCACGTGGTGGGAAAAAGTATTTCATAACTTTTATTGATGATTGCACTAGATATTGTTATGTCTATTTGCTAAATAGTAAGGATGAAGCAATAGATGCATTTAGGCAATATAAAAATGAAGTTGAAAATCAGTTAGATAAAAAGATCAAAATGATCAGAAGTGATAGAGGTGGAGAATATGAATCTCCATTTGCAGAAATATGTTTAGAAAATGGAATAATCCATCAAACTACTGCTCCCTACACTCCTCAGTCTAATGGAATTGCAGAAAGAAAAAATCGAACTTTAAAAGAAATGATGAATGCATTACTTATAAGTTCAGGTTTACCACAGAACTTGTGGGGGGAAGCTATCCTTACAGCAAATCAGATACTTAACAGAGTGCCTCACTCAAAGACAAATGTAATTCCATATGAGAAATGGAAAGGTAGAAACCCCAATTTGAAATATTTCAAAGTGTGGGGGTGTCTAGCCAAAGTCCAAATTCCTATACCTAAGAGGGTAAAAATAGGACCTAAGACTGTGGATTGTGTATTCATTGGATATGCGACAAATAGTAAGGCATGTCGATTTTTGGTTCATAAGTCCGAACATCCGGATATTCATGATAATACGGTAATGGAATCAGATAGTGCTGAATTTTTTGAACATATCTATCCGTATAAAACTAGACTTGAGTCATCTAGTGGGGGATCTAAACAACCCAGAGAAGAACCAAAAGAGAATGAACAAAATGAAGAAAGTTTAAGACGTAGTAAACGTCAAAAGACATCTACTTCATTTGGATCAGATTTTGTAACATTTCTTCTTGAAAGTGAGCCTCAAACATTCAAGGAAGCAATGTTGTCTAGCGACTCAACCTCTTGAAAAGAGGCTGTTAATAGTGAAATTGAATCAATCTTAAGCAATCATACTTGGGAGTTGGTTGATCTTCCTCCAGGGAACAAACCATTGGGTTCAAAATGGATCTTTAAAAGGAAGATGAAAGACGATGGAACTATTGACAAATATAAAGCAAGACTTGTTGTCAAAGGTTTTAGACAAAAAGAAGGTCTTGATTATTTTGACACATATTCGCCAGTGACTAGGATTACATCAATTCGGATGTTAATTGCACTAGCTGCAGTATACGGTCTTGAAATTCATCAAATGGATGTGAAAACAGCCTTCTTAAATGGAGAACTTGAAGAGGAAATTTACATAGAACAACCTGAGGGTTTTGTAGTTCCTGGTAAAGAAAAGAAAGTGTGAAAACTTATTAAGTCACTTTATGGGCTAAAACAAGCACCAAAACAATGGCATGCAAAGTTTGATCAAACCATGTTGTCAAATGGATTTAAGATCAATGAATGTGATAAATGTGTTTACATTAAAGATACTCCAAATCAGGAAGTTATTTTATGCCTATATGTAGATGATATGCTTATAATGAGCAAAGACATTGCTAATATAAAAGCTACAAAGCGTATGCTTGCTAGTAAGTTTGATATGAAAGATTTAGGAGTTGCTGATGTGATATTAGGAATTAAAATTCTTAAAACTCCTAACGGTCTAGCATTGTCTCAAACTCATTATATTCAAAAGATACTTGAAAAATTCAAATTTTTGAATTTTAAAAGGGCAAAGACTCCAATTGATGTAAATCTTCATCTTGCAAAAAATAAAGGCGAAAGTCAGTCTCAATTGGACTATGCTAGCGTATTGGGAAGCTTAATGTATGTCATGAATTGTACACGACCAGACATAGCTTGCGCTATCAGTAAACTGAGTCGATACACAAGTAATCCTAATCATAATCATTGGTTGGCAATGAAGAGAGTTTTGGGATACTTAGATGACACTCAAAACTATGCTTTACATTACAACAGATATCCTGCCGTTCTTGAAGGATATAGTGATGCAAATTGGATTACTGGGTCAACTGAAACAAAATCCACAAGTGGATACGTTTTTACTATTGGCGGAGGAGCAATATCTTGGAAATCATCCAAACAAACATGTATAGCTCGCTCTACAATGGAGTCTGAATTCATTGCTTTAGACAAGGCAGGTGAAGAAGCTGAATGGCTCCGGAATTTCTTAGAAGATATTCCATTTTGGCCCAAACCAATGGCCCCTATATGCATACATTGTGATAGTCAAGCTGCAATAGGAAGGGCTGGAAGCATTATGTATAACGGCAAGTCTCGTCACATAAGACGAAGACATAACTCTGTGAGACAACTACTCTCTAGTGGAATTATCACAATTGACTATGTGAAGTCAAAAGATAATGTGTCGGATCCACTTACAAAAGGCCTAAATAGAGAGGGAGTTGAGAAATCATCGACGGGAATGGTCCTATGGCCGAGAACAAGTCATCGTGGCGGTAACTCTACCTAGAAGACTGGAGATCCCAAGATCTAGGTTCAAGGAGATAAAACAAAGTCATTGATGACGGTTCAACATTGTCAAAGGAAAAATAAAATAAAATATTATTATTATTTTATGGTCCATTCTCATGATGAGACAATGTTTAGTAACTAGGATAAAAACATAAGGACTTTTTAATGGTTTCTAAGTTTGATACAAGGAATATCAAATGGTGTATCTATGGGATAACACATTTAGAAATCACCTATGTAAGTGTGAAGTGTAAGCCGCTTCAAGGAGAATCCGGTAAGGCCAGTTCTTTAAGCACTTACTGTCCAAGATGTGTTCATGGCTGAAACGAACAAAACAATGAGAACTAAGAACAGTTCAAGGGTTGATTGTGTGACATATGTTGTCTAGTTATACACCAAAGCTCAACGGTTCAAAGATATCAAATCTACCGATTGACCGAGTATATCCGATATATGTTCACTACGGAAAGTTTAAAGGGAAACCTACTTATCCAGATGCGATTAACCTTTACCTACAAGACACACAAGTTTTTTCATGCATATGTTTTAACCATAGCCTTCCCCATTCATGTGGGGTA